CCATCCCTCCACCCCTCCATCCATTTTTCCGCACTATGAAAACACACGTCTGGTCTCATCTGGGAGGTTATTGTTGATATTTTCTTTGCGTTAGCTTTCAGAGATTTACTGTGAATCCCAGAACGTTGTGTTTTCCAGGTCTGGTTTGGTGTGTGGCATTAGTGTGTTTATTTAGCCACTTTCTTTGGATATTCCTGCAATTCAGAGCCATGTAAAGATCAAAAGGACTTTGTAGTCTTGTAGATAAAGAGCATAAATAAAACTAAAAGTTCTTTAAGGACCACAGAGCAGCCTTTTGTGTCTGACAGCGAAACTTCAGACGACTTTGAAGGGAGAGGCTGAGGGTGTGGACAGTGGTGCGAGTACTTTGAGGAGCTCTTCAGTCCTATTGGCATGTCACAGGGCAACAACAGTCTGGGGATGGGGGGTGATTTGTCCATCAGTAGGGATTGAGTTCACTATAATCAAACCTCACTGCTGGGCAGGCTCTGCAGGGCTCTGCAGGGCTCTGCATGCTGTGGGTTGTCCTGGTTGATGCGCCTCTACAGCAATGCATGGAATTTAAAGCCAGTGCCTTAGGACTGTAGGATTGGCACATTGGGAGGTCATCTTTTCTTTTGGTAGCTGATCTCTGTGAGTTTCTTTTAAAAACTTTTGTTTGTTGTGTTTTTTAAGTAACTCCTAAGTAGATCAGTGCAACTTTAACGGTGAATTTAAACGTTGTGGTGTAAATCTTGACAAAAGCATATAACACTGCAACACTTATCTGCTTTCAGGACTACCTTCCCAGCCAGCAGGACATCCTTCTGGCCAGAAAACCCACCAAGGGCATCCACGAGTATGATTTTGAGATTAAGAATGTGCCTTTCAAAATGGTGGACGTGGGTGGGCAGCGCTCTGAGAGACGGCGCTGGTTTGAATGTTTTGAGTCGGTCACATCCATCCTCTTCCTTGTGTCCTCCTCTGAGTACGACCAGGTGAGTTATGTGGAAGCAGAGTGTTGCTCAGTATGCTAACCTGGCTAAAAACTCTGCATGTAAGAAGACAAAGATTCAGCTAACAGCAGTTAGCTTTGTCTTCTTACTGAATTCAGATTGATTGGAAAGCCCGTCTTGAACCCTCTAATGTGTCTGCTGGTGTTTTTCATGGAAAACTTCACTAAGTATCCTGCTTTGTTTACTTTGGTTAATGTCATTTAGGGATGTTTTTGTTCAGTGGTGAAGCAGCTTTGAGTCTAACAGTGGTGTGCAGTGATGCTGATTACATAACGAGTATGTATAACAATAAATGGAGGCGTTTGGGAGAGGGGGGTTGCAAAGCAGCTTGCAGGGCAGCAGCAGCTCCATGCAGGGTGATGCAGTTAAATAGCATGCCCCAGTAGGATATGCATGAAGGAACCGATTGAGCCAACAGCTGGACAAACGTAGAGACTGATTCATCTGTAGATCTAACCTGCAGCGCTCTGGCTGGACTCCACGGTCTGCCTTAACCTCACTCTGTGCTCAGATTTGGTGGGTGTGCTTACCATCATTAAAATGTTTGAGAACAGGACATCATATTTTAGACTTCAACTTTCCAAAACCACATCAAAGTTGATTTTCTTAGAAGTTTTAGAGGCTTAGTGATGGATGCCCATGATGCCATCATTCAGCATGGCTCCGTCACAGTGCACGCTGAAATCCTGCTATTTTACTTCTGCTCCACACGGTTGAGTCGAGCTGCTTTTCATACCAGATGTCTGCGTTCTCACACATCCAGGTGCTGATGGAAGACCGGCAGACTAACCGACTGAGCGAGTCACTAAACATCTTTGAGACCATAGTCAACAACCGGGTCTTCAGCAACGTCTCCATCATCCTGTTCCTGAACAAGACGGACCTGCTGGGGGAGAAGGTGAAGCAAGTGTCCATCAAAGACTACTTCCCCGAGTTCTCTGGTGACCCCATGAGTTTGGCAGATGTCCAGTGCTTCCTGGTGGAATGCTTTCGCAAAAAGCGCCGCGAGCAGCAGCAGAAGCCTCCGCAGCAGCTGAAGCCTCTGTACCACCACTTCACCACAGCCATCAACACTGAAAACATCCGGCTGGTGTTCCGTGATGTCAAGGACACCATCCTGCACGACAACCTCAAGCAGCTGATGCTGCAGTGAGGGGGCGCGGCAGGGAAGGGCGGAGGCAAAGGGAACATGGCTCGCAGTCTTAACAGCAGCCGTAGGAGGAGCGGACAGCGTCACTGCTTTCACCCACCCAGGATTTTCTCTGCCCCTCACTGTTGAACTTGACTGTGTATTAAAGCAACCACTACTATGGCCACTCCCCCCTGTGCTTCTTTGCTTAACAAGCGTGTTCACTGTAACTTATAACAGCCCACTGTGGCTGAGTTCTTCCTGCCCTTAGACCCATGTAACTGACCTGTAGTCCTCACTCTCTCAGGCCACGCCCACACTCCTGAGCATCCTTTATAGTGTCCCTGTGTCCTGCTCCCACACTGGAGAGGAGGGGGTGACTGTTACCAAGGTGTTGTTGTAAACGTGCTCTTCACTGTGCCTTGGTGTGGATTTATACTTTTCTAATCATTTTGTTTTCTATTGTATGAACATACTGTTAACCTATGCATTTTTCTATCATAGGGGTTTACACTCTGACATTTGGACTGTTACAGTTATTCAAAGATGTCGGGTGCTGCTGACGAAGCGTGCAGACACAAACACGCCGCTTGCTGAAAGCTGGTCGGGGTTTGGGGTGACCCGCAGTACTGGTGCTGTTTCTCAGGGCACCATTTCTAAACCACTACTGTGATTTGTAACATGTGTACCTTACCCTTGCACCAGTCAAACGGGTTTCCCTTTATTTGCCACAAAACTGGCCGGAGTTGTACTTCAGAAGCAAAACTCTGGCCGTCGACCTCAGCCTTACTTTACTGCGAGTGATTTGACCCGTGTGCTTGCACATGCTAACATGTGATTTGTGGATGCTGCCTCATTGACCGTGGTTAAAGATAACACTAAGGGAAACATGTAAAGCGGCCTTTCTCAAACGTTTGGCAGATGTTGCAGCGCGGGTTGAGCCCCGGGGTTTTCTTCAGTGGTACAGAGAGAGAATTATCACCTTAAGTGTTGCGTATTGTACTGCAGGCGATGAGGTGGCCATGTTGCCTTTTGTCTTAATCAGATGTTCATGTGAGGCCGCCCCTCACCACAGGGACATATTCCTGCTGCAGTCTGTGCAGCTGCCGGCTGCTCTCGTTTTGTATAAAGCTCACGTGTCCATTCTAACGCATGTGTCCCTCACATCGACCTAAAGCTTGTTGCAGCCGCTCTAACTTTCCACACAGTATAATGGTAAGTGTTATTTTGCTATGTGGTGTTTTTGGTTTGGGGTTTTTAAGCAGAAGCAGGCATCTGTTGGACGGTCTTATGTTGTTTAAGGGGCTTCCTGTTTCCCAGCTTCCTGTGTGATTTACAACACGAACGCCACAATCCTGTACGTGTCCCTGCAAACAACTGGCTCCACTGGTCCATGCTAACCAGCTGTAAAAGTAGTCTTGTTGCCTTTTTGGGGGTGAGCAGTTCCACACTGTGGACTTTTGAACAACGGGAACATTCTGTGTGCGTCAGCATGGGTATTTTTTTGTACTTTCTAATTGTGATAATTGCTAATGTTGAATAAGTAAAGAATACTTAATGTTAATCACTGTTAATAAGTGTTGTGCACAGACCTTTGTAACTGTGAGCTGCAAAGCTTCAAAGGGACACGAGGCAACTGAGAAACTGGCTGAAAAGGTTTGATGTGATCACAGAGCTGTGCATTTACAAATACTATCATTAACTGTCTTTGTCTTATCAGATCTACACCTGCAGTGTTGACTCGACTCAAATAAAGTTTCCTCAAATACAACACGTGACAAAAACCTGTGTGGGCTGCCAGATTTCACACTGTGGGGGCTTGGAAGAGACCACGCCCATCAGGATGATAGATAATCACTGTCAATGACTGAGTGACGCATCACTAAATGAGGCGCTGTCAGAGTTTGGTTTGTGGGCGTGTCATGTTCAGCTCACTGATGGTGACTGCGCTGTTTGCAGCGTTGCTCAGCGTCTGCGTCACACTGACAGGTGGAACCAACTGCCAGAACACTTGCTGCATATGTGGGACTCGTTCCTGTTAGGGGGAAACGAGTGAAACAGCATCTAAGTGTGTGTGACACAGTTACTCTTTGCATCAGTAACACAGGAGGCCACATGAATGTATATCATGATACATGCAAGTCTTTTAAATCAGAGCTCATTGCAGGTATGAAACTATCACTGTTTGACCTCAGCTCCTCTGTCACAGACACACAAACAGTGACTGGCAGCAGCTTTCTTGTGTCAGTGTTGGCAAGGAGCAGTGAAGTCACATGACTTATTCTCTGTGTGTTTTCCAACATGGTTAAAAAAGACAAAGCTGAAAAACAGGAGTGTGTGTGTGTGTGTGTGTCTCATGTCACTGAAGCTGGTCGTTGAAGTGTTATCAGGACAGGCCTGCACCCTGAAACCAGCCTAATTGTGATTGTTGTCACACAGAAGCATGAGTGTGTTTGTGAGGTCACAGTCTGATGACAGTTGTGCTCCATCAGGATACGTGCCATGTGTACAAAGACACATTAAGCCAAGCAAACTGAGCTCTCGCCATTATTTATCGCTTTGTGCCTGTTTGCATCCATTCTTTACTGCCATCTT